CACAGGAGAGAAGTTACAAGAATAATGTACATAGATCGAGGTAGAGGCGATAATAAAATCGACAATCATACATTCATTGGGAATAGAAGATGAGGTTTCATTGTGTCATTGCCGCACCGGTAGGAGAGGCAGAAAAGTCTTTTGGTTTAGAGGCACAACCTTCCTCCACGTCTGCGTCAAAAGGATTGCGTGCCTTTGTAGTGTGGCAGAGAGTGGGTGAGATAGCCTGCCTGTTGGCCGGTCCCACTGAGAGGGCCGCCACCGCCGCTTCCATTTGAGTGCGACTCATTGGGACCAGAGGAGGAGTAGGAGGAGGAAGCGTAGTTTCCACTGTGGCGCCATATATCAGGTGTTGCCTGCAATGTGTGGGCAAAGAGGTCGCCATGGTAAAGCTTTCTTAGAGCGCCAACAAAAGGAACCCAATATAACTGGGAAAATGTTTCCCTGATTATACCCGGCGTTATTTCGCCCAATTCATAATACTTAACACTAAGAAAGGTCTGAACTGCTCTCATCACGCACATTAACCTCTTACATATGTCAGCTCATTTGTAGAAGATTACAACGGTTATGAAACCGTCTCAAGATAGATGTAGGGTTCTACAGTCCATGCAAAGCAGAAAAGTTGGATTACTATAGGTTACTATCTGTAGTGCTATTGCTTTACCTAAAAGTCCTCTCACATTACTTGAAATTATCATGACGGTCAAGAAAACGCCATGCATAGAAAAAGGATCGAGCACCTAAAAATAGGAGTGTGCGGCCATCGTCAACTTGTTTACCCTTCCGTGCTATAGGTGTGGTTTACATCATCCACAGCTAGGAGCTTAAAGACCCAACAACAAAGGACGTGTGCGTAGATTTAGGCTAGAAGCAAAGCCAATTATTCAAAATAGATTACCGCAGTGAACTTTCCTTCACTTTTTGATAAGGTGAGCAAAGTAAAAGCTCAAGCGAATAAACTCGAAGTGAATATCTAACTATCCGCCAAGGGGGGTATTGCAATTCTAGCACAAAAGGAAAATCATCAGAGGCATCAACACACTTGTCAGGGAATACGCGTCGCTCTGTAGAGAGGACTGGGGCCAAAGGTCGACTGGTGAAGGGCTGAGGTGGCCATGTAGTACTGGTTTGAGGATTATTTTCCCCCACGGAAAAGTTGGAGGGTAACGGCGGCTCAAAGACATCGTAGCATGACGCCACACCCTCCTCATTCCTCCTATTTGCATTTATTTCCAACTCGTTGCAGATGAAAGGACCGCTATTTCGCATCCGCCTCCGACGAAACCAGCGAAGCAAACGCTGCCTCGACAGCCACCAACACGACAATCTTGATGATCGTGTCAATACCACCCCAGCAGATGCTCCAGTTAGCGTTTCTCGTAGCGTTCCTGTTGCCTGTCCACGACAAGCATTGTGATCTTGAGAGTCGCTCAGACGGAGGGTGCACAAAGTTGCAAGGCCTGTTAATACACTTCCGCCTAGCCACACAACTAGGAGGATTGTGTCTGGGAAGCGAGGAGTGAGAACATTTAACATGTAATTTCCAAACCACAAAGGAAATAGACCTTTTTTTATGATGCTTTATATCCATACATCTGCTCCACGCAAAGAAAATCGGGCAATAATTGAATAGCCACGCAAAATTCAATGCGTATCTGATGAAAGGCCCTATAGCCTCACAAACGCATGCTTCATGTTCGCCAAGGAAAGGCGTTTAGCGATTCAACTCGTAACAAACCAAAAGGATCAACAAATGTATGAAACCATCGATGAAAGCAAAAGTAATAAAAAACACAGATAAGCGAGGGACTACGCTTACCGATACTTTGTTTATAGAAAACTGATCTTGTAACTATTTATGCAGACCGGAATAATCAATTAATAGGATCTACTTTCAACCTTGAACATCGTACAGGTACAAAGAACCGAAATTGAACTGAAATACCTTGATTATCTCCATCAATTCCAGTTTCAAGGACCACCCGCAACCACACCAAACAGGTTATTGTAGCCATTAATAGCCACTTCATTGAGTTGGAAAAATGCAACCCAACTCCTAACGCCTAACTACGCCCAGCTCTATAATTTCAAAATAAACCAGTTTCGATGCATTAAGCTCTATAAGGTCCGCATGAACAGCCAAATAATTAACCGTTACATCAAGAAGAGCATCAAATAGCTTTAGGAGCGCACAAAGGTGATATTTCAAGCAAACTGACTGACCATTTCTACCGTAAACGGAGATGTCAAGAACACTGAGACGTTCCTCTGGCCATGTTAAAATGAGAAACTCATCCACCAGAATGTAAGGCAGTAGAGAATTCGGGAAAAATAGTAGGGCAACACAAGTAAGGCTGACATAAAGGCCAGTTAGTGCAACCGACAGGCCAAATGCCTAAAATAAGGCAGAAGCCATAACAAATAATCGAACCTATGTTCGTTGCTCTCCAAAAGCATAACATACGATTTGATGCATTAAAGCAAAACCAGATTGAGCATGAGAACGTTATGTTCCACTGCGATGTCACTCTATTCAATCTAATTAATTCACTTTCAGATATACAGCATACTTGTGATAAAAAACTAGATAGGAACTGAATTAAAAATAAGCAATAATATATACCATATTTTTGTAGATAGACATTAGTGCAATTAGCACAATGTAAATTAATGAGAAGAAGCACATATGCCCCGTGGGATTTTTCAGGGCATCAAAGTAACCTAAAGAAGGAACAGTGAGTCAGTAAGTTCGATTTAGATGAATTTACAATTAGACGTTTAATAGCGTACCTAAGAGCAGGCCCACAAAGAGGGAAGTAAGAAGCAATGCAGCAGAGGGTACGGGAACCAGTCTTGCCAGTCGCCACAACCGATACTGATTTAATCGCCTACCATGGCAACAGTAACAGAAAGTACGTTTTAGTATAGCAGTCGTAGTAGAAATGCCTTCGCCCGTCCTAGATGTGAAATTGGAGTAGGTTCTAGGGAATTCACGGTGAGAGAGAAGCGAGGGATAAAAGGGATCAACATCAGCCCATCCATCACCCATATCTCCTATTGCCCCGTAGTTGCTGTAAGATGGTGGCTGCGGCTCATTCAGGGGATGAAATATACTCGGGGATAGAGGCACTGTGTCTTGCACGTAAGATTTTCGAATGCAGCAGCAATAGATTAGAAGCATTAACAAGCAGCTAATGGAAATTGGTATAAACAAACTGGCCACGACCAAGTGGGATGCTAAAGATGCGAATGATCAAAACAGGAGTGAAATGACAATAGTTGAAACCAATGAAAGATTCAAATGGATAGGGCTTACCACTTTCAGAGAGGTGGAAATACCGATAGAAAACCAAGAGAGAAATGAACGATGAAAACATTGCAATAGAGACGCCACAACCTAAAGTTCGAGTAATAATAAAAAATAAGACCTACGTAACCACACAAAATGGCTACCAGAGAGAGCGTACAGTAAGGCCGCCAAAAAAATAATTCCAATGCTGATTCGAGTTCCAATCGAAGGATCAGAAACAAGATCACACGCTAATTGATCAGATTTGGTATTAATTTGAAAGACTGATTGCCTGCCAATATGAGGACAAGTGTATAAAACGGTGGGTGCGTAGGCGGCAAAAGTGGAACTCTCAGTTTGGGAAAGAGAACCCAGCCTGTATTCGGCAATCACATTTACAACAGAAGCAGTTCCAAGATGTCGTGTGACTTTAATCTCATAACTGTTGTCGTCGTAAAGTTTTAGCTCTCTAGCAAACAAGAAAAAGTCTTAGTGAACCACAAATATCTCTGAGTAGTTCGCAACTATTTCAAGCCAACCTGGAATTGATACTGGCAGCGAGATTTCCACGCAACGCCGCATCTCCATAAGAAGAAAGGCGATTCAGCACAGATAAAACATCGCTTGCGGAAGGATTAACATAAGTTGCACCGGAACCACCACTTGTTACCAGTGGGATGTGATAGATGTGGTAGATTAGGTTGCTAATAAATGACGCATTTGGCTGAGATTCGGAGATGCACGTAACTGCGGAACCTTGTGGAGGGGAGGCAGCATAGAATCGAAGCGTCGATGTCAACCATCGCGACTTGTCCGATGTGGTACTTGAAGTAGTGTCTGCTGCATGAATACTCTTTGCTTCCCAGCTGGTGACAATCGTCGATGCGGAAAATCGATCTGTTGAACCTACGCCGCAACCTCCTGGTACTACACCTAAAGTCTCACATTAGATATTCGCCAAAGTTTACTTCCAGCATCATAGAGAGAGGCCCTAACAGCAGCCAAAATTGGCTGCGAACCAAGGGAATAAACAAAAAGAAGCTGCGACACATTTATAACTCTCTGCCGATTAACAAGTCCAATGTTATAGCCATATTGAGACAAAGCCCTTGGATAATCCTCCAGCAATGATGCCCATACTTTGTTAAAGGGACTGTGTATTGAAAAGACCAAAAATCTCGAAGGATCAGTTGCAACGCCAAATGAAAACGAATTTCTCCCTGGCTTGACAGTGATCTCGTTCCACGTACCGGTTGGCAAATCATCAATTATTTGATAGCTCTCTAATCAATGCGGTAAAAATTAGTCAAAACTCATTTTACTCTCAAAGAAGAGAAGAAGCAGGATATAAGAAATTGGGACACCATTCAACCTCATCTTCAAGTCATTTGCTAGGCTAGTCGAACAATCACAATCAGCGCCGCAATTTAAGTGATAGAAACAAAGTACATAGTAGCTTCTTGTATGTTTTGAAGCCAGCTCGATAGCAGCTAACGTACCGCGACCACGTCTTCATTAGCTTATGGTAAAAAAGCGAAAATATAATTATTCAATTTGCCAGCCCATTTATAATGTCACTAATTTGTTGCATTTCGGTTGCCTTTTAGTTACTATGATGTCCCCGTATAGTATCCGTATATTTTATATAGAAGTAAAGCACAGCTCAATCCTTTAGCCTAGGCCTAATTGCTAGGACAGAATTCATGCAGTTAAGACGCGAAACGGATTGAAGTCAGGTAGGGGAGCGTATTTACAAGTATTTTGACAACCCTTAATTTTCGAAACAATGTATACCTTACTTTGGAGGGTTCGACTCGATTTCTCGACACTTGCTTGATTGACGCATTCCAAAAGTCAATATTAGCAACGTAGTCTCTTCCCACCAGTTAGAAGAAGGCATTAAGTTGGGCCGGATACATTTACCCAATAAGGGTGTGAAGAGATTTGATTTTGGTTTAACCCAAATGCCAACCACGCACACGGGAGCAAGACGAATTCATATTCACCATCAGACGTCATGTAGTCCCGTAAACAAATCATTACAAGCAACGCCCATAATCTGTTGGATAATAACAGTCCACACCAATGATTTCAACAATCCTAGCTAGTCTCTTAACTATGCAGTCAGCCCTGACTCCATTTTGAAGTATTCTAGGGTGAACAAATTGACTAGGCTGGAGCTTGGCTCGAAGGCCAGCCCACGCGTACAAGGGCCAGACGAAACTTAAAGTGACCACCAGGCATCAGCTGGTCGCATAAACAAAGTATTACAATGAACCGACCTTTTCGTTTTTTCCCAGCA